AGCAATATCCCCAGGGCGGTATCCCCAGAGCAATATCCCCAGAGCGGTATCCCCAGAGCGGTATTCCCAGAGCAATATCTCCAGAGCGGTATCCCCAGAGCAATATCCCCAGGGCGGTATTCCCAGAGCAATATCCCCAGGGCGGTATCCCCAGAGAAGTATTCCCAGAGCAATATCTCCAGAGCGTATCCCCAGAGCGGTATCCCCAGAGCAATATCTCCAGAGCGGTATTCCCAGAGCAATATCCCCAGGGCGGTATTCCCAGAGCAATATCCCCAGGGCGGTATTCCCAGAGCAATATCCCCAGGGCAGTATTCCCAGAGCAATATCCCCAGGGCAGTATTCCCAGAGCAATATCCCCAGGGCAGTATTCCCAGAGCAATATCCCCAGGGCGGTATTCCCAGATCAGTATCCCCAGAGCAATATTTCCAGAACAGCATCCCCAGAGCAATATCCCCAGAGCAGTATTCCCAGGGCGGTATATTCCCAGAGCAATATCCCCAGGGCGGTATTCCCAGAGCAATATCCCCAGAGCGATATCTCCAGAGCGGTATTCCCAGGGTGTTGATCCCAGAGCAATAGCCCTAAGGCGGTGATCCCACAGCGGTATCTCCAGAGCGGTATTGCCAGAGCAATTTTCCCAGATTAGTATTCCCAGGCATTTAAAACGTTTTGGACGGATTTGAACAGATGTGCAGTAAAGAGTCGTACGTCCCACCAATCATGCGCCTCTCCTTCATTGCGCACCTTTGAGTTTCAGTAACTCTGCACAGACCGCAGAACACAAAGCCAACTGTAACCACAGATTAATAATGACTTTATTTAAAGGAGATGAAAAAATGGACAGAAATAGGTTGGAAATGAGGTTCTAGGTTTGGATTACTGTCCCAAAGTTTACCGTCTTTTTACAAAAAGGTGTGAGGATTTATTCTAAAACTACAAGAAACAGATGTAAGTTTTTGGGGTTTTAAGAAAGATTTTAGACTGTAGTGTAGCGCTGCTGCCACTAGTCGAAGTAGTCGACTCAATCAATGATGAAGATTTATGGAAGAAAAACAGTCTCAAAGGAATCTGCCTTGGTTTTAAAACCGAATTTAAAACACGGAATTTTTTTAGCACCAGAATTTTTTTACACGTTGATTTTTTTTACACATTGAATTCCTTACACTTAATTTCTATCTGGTAAAAATGTGCCTGCAGAAAATTNAGACCGATCAGGGTAGCTAAGGGCCGATGGGCCCCTCTACTCAGACCGATCAGGGCAGCTAAGAGCTACTGCTACTGGCGATGCCTAAAACCAGACTTAAAACCAAAGGTGATCGTGCCTTTATGACAGCGGCACTGAGACTCTGGAATAACTTGCCTTGGCACATTAGATCATTATGTGGAATGTGGGGATAATGGAACCTTCTAATAAAACCTTTCATCTCATGCTAGTTTTCCACTTCTGGAACGTTTATTTTGAATGTAGCATGATGAGTGGGCTAATATATTTTAGATATTTTTAAAACCATGTTCTCTCACATACTCGGATTTCCTGCAGCTGGTTTTAGATTATTTTCTGTTTTGGTCTTTGCAGGCGATAGCTGACCATTTTGAAGACCCGAGCTGTCCGGCCAGCGAGCGCCTCAAAGTCTTCTACTGCTGCCAAGTGCCGCCAAGATGGGCTGTCCAGGTGCAACATCATGTCCCGAAGTGCATCACTTGTTTTCTTGCACCGTCACTGGTCACTCTCCTCTCCCTTAAAGGATGCGGTTCCACTAAAGGAAACTTTTTCAGGAACCAAAGCAGTTTTTTGTTTTGTATGCACAGGCTTTAGCCAAAACAGAGCGGTATCCCCAGAGCAATATCCCCAGAGCGGTATTCCCAGAGCAATATCTCCAGGGCGGTATGCCCAGAGCAATATCCCCAGGACGGTATCCCCAGAGCAATATCCCCAGGGCGGTATCCCCAGAGCAATATCCCCAGGGTGGTATTCCCAGAGCAATATCCCCAGAGCGGTATTCCCCAGAGCGGTATTCCCAGAGCAATATCCCCAGGATGGTATTCCCAGAGCAATATCCCCAGAGCGGTATCCCCAGAGCAATATCTCCAGAGCGGTATCCCCAGAGCGGTATTCCCAGAGCAATATCCCCAGAGCGGTATCCCCAGAGCAGTATTCCCAGAGCAATACCTCCAGAGCGGTATCCCCAGAGCGGTATTCCCAGAGCAATATCTCCAGAGCGGTATCCCCAGAGCGGTATCCCCAGAGCAATATCCCCAGAGCGGTATTCCCAGAGCAATATCTCCAGGGGCGGTATCCCCAGAGCAATATCCCCAGGGCGGTATTCCCAGAGCAATATCCCCAGGGCGGTATTCCCAGAGCAATATCCCCAGGGCGGTATTCCCAGAGCAATATCCAGAGCGGCATTCCCAGATCAGTATTCCCAGAGCAATATTTCCAGAACAGCATTCCCAGAGCAATATTTCCAGAGCAATATCCCCAGAGCAGTATCCCCAGGGCAGTATATTCCCAGAGCAATATCCCCAGGGCGGTATCCCCAGAGCAATATCCCCAGAGCAGTATCTCCAGAGCGGTATTCCCAGAGCAATATCCCCAGGGCGTGGATCCCAGAGCAATAGCCCTAAGGCGGTGATCCCACAGCGGTATCCCCAGAGCGGTATTGCCAGAGCAGTATTCCCAGAGCGGTATCTCCAGAGCAATATCCCCAGAGCGGTATTCCCAGAGCAATTTTCCCAGATTAGTATTCCCAGGCATTTAAAACGTTTTGAATGTATTTTTTTTTTTTTTTCAGCATTTGAAAGTAGCCGTATGATGATGTAATGGTTAGCAGCTGTTTGTAGAAGAGGGAATGTTTTAAACTGCATCCTTGGATTTATCCCTCATCAGGAAATAAGACCCAAAGCTTCTGTTGAGCTGCTCCCTCCTCACAGGTACAGCGGTTCTGATCGTTACAACCAACAAATAACAAGCAAAAACATTCATGTCTTGTCACACAATGAATGCCAAATCCCATTGGAACCCATTTTCTAATCAGAAATTACTTTTCTCTTAAAAATAGCAGCTTTTAGGTCGTCTGAATGAAACAAAAAAGATGTTGAATCATTACACTTAATTAAAAATAAATAGATTTATTGGTAAGCCCCTAAGGAAGCCACCAGGGTAGAGCTGCTGAGGTCAGTCCTCCTGATGACATCACATCGCAGTAACCCCTCTTCAACCTGAAGAAGGCGCCGTACAGCAGGATTTAGACTCATCAGCGGGATTTGAACAGATGTGCAGTAAAGAGTCGTACGTCCCACCAATCATGCGCCTCCCCTTCCTCTGATTGGCCCCCATCATTGCGCACCTACAAGTTTCAGTAACTCTGCACAGACCGCAGAACACAAAGCCAACTGTAACCACAGATTAATAATGACTTTATTTAAAGGAGATGAAAAAATGGACAGAAATAGGTTGGAAATGAGGTTCTAGGTTTGGATTACTGTCCCAAAGTTTACCGTCTTTTTACAAAAAGGTGTGAGGATTTATTCTAAAACTACAAGAAACAGATGTAAGTTTTTGGGGTTTTAAGAAAGATTTTAGACTGTAGTGTAGCGCTGCTGCCACTAGTCGAAGTAGTCGACTCAATCAATGATGAAGATTTATGGAAGAAAAACAGTCTCAAAGGAATCTGCCTTGGTTTTAAAACCGAATTTAAAACACGGAATTTTTTTAGCACCAGAATTTTTTTACACGTTGATTTTTTTTACACATTGAATTCCTTACACTTAATTTCTATCTGGTAAAAATGTGCCTGCAGAAAATTAGCCTGCAAAAGTGTTGACCTTTGGTAAACTCAAGCCAAAGCAATCTACCCTTGATGCAGTCCAGCAGCTTTAACTAATGAAATGAGCTAAATGAGCATTTCTAATGCTATAGCTTCATTAGAATAATGCAGAGTGGTACTTTGCTTGATTAGTTCATGTATGTTTAATCCATTCATGAACTCCAGTCTGTGGCTGAGGGAGCCGTAATACCCCTTCATCTCCAGGAAGCGCCTAGCTTCAACACGCTGTGCCTGCCCTTTGTCCACATGTCCACAAACCTCACCGCAAAAAAATGGACATATTCCACATTGCAACCATAATTATTGATCTACTTGATTCTGTTTCTAGAGCACGGTGATGGAGCTCATGTGACCAACATATAGAGGCCTGGTCTGGTGACCTTTGCCGCACATCTTCCCCCTCCCTTCAGTCCTTTTTCATCTCTATCTACTATTAAAATTAAAAGCCACTGGAGTAGAGCTGCCACTCATGACTGCAAACTGCATGCTTTAAACAAATGTTTACGTTAGTTGACTAATCATAACGACTATTTTCCAAAAGAATCTCTAGTGTTCAGGGTTTGCAGAGTAGCCACTCGGGAGCGGCGCATTTCGAGCGTCCGAGTGTCAATATATCGGAAAAGATGGTCCCAGAGTTTTTTGGGGGGGAGACAGACAATACCTGCAAGCTGTCATGCAGCTGCAGATCGATGAGGATTTCTTGGTGCTGCAGCTGTAGGACTTAAGTGATTTTTTTCTCCTCTACAGAAACTGCTGGCCAGTCTGCTCATAGACCTGGGATGCATCAGTACGGCTCTGCTCCTTTATGAAAAGCTGGAGCTCTGGGAGGACACGGTTATCTGTTACGAGAAGCTTGGCCAACATGGAAAGGTACAATCACACACAAACACTCCCAAGGCGTTTTATCCTTTTCCTAATTCCAGGGAGCTGTGGGACCTCCAGCATCCATCCCTTGGAAGCTCAGGACTGACAGGCATAATGTCAGTGCTGGCGCCTGCTTCCCTTCAGTCGTTTCAGGGAGTGATAGTGATAGTTTTTCTCAAGTTCCCCTAAACCTTTTAGCATATCCCTCTGGGAAGCATCCAGCATTGGCTCAGTGTAAGCGGCCATCTGCAGAGGCCAACTGGGGTTCA